CCATGAATCATCTAAAACTTCATTTTTGAATGCATTGTACTGAAATTGTAAAGGAAATTTTCTTTTTGTCATCTTTACTTCAACAATGACTTGATTTGACTCAATTTTATCATAAATCTTGCAATAATTATCTCTAAACACAAGAGAATAACCATTTTTAACCATTTTCCATGAATTAACCAACACTAAGCAAATTTTCTTCCAAGTCAGAAACATAAAGCACATCATGAATTTGCTTACCACTCCCTTTTATGTTGATCGAAATGGTACCTTTACCTTTTGCATCAACTAAGGCTCCATTCACCATTCTCACTTTAGTAGTGATGCTACTATTAATTGAGAGAAAAACTTTTCATCTCCAGTCATGTGATTGCTACAACCACTATCAATATACCATTCATTGTTTTTTGCTGAAACATCAGATTGAGAAGCAAAGAAAAGATTTTCTTCCATTTTTTTCTCCTGTTCTTCACAGAAATTTGTTTGCTCCTGTTGCTTGTGCCAACAATCATTCTCAATGTGGCCAAATTTTTTACAAAATTTACATTGGGGTTTGCCTTTGTGCCAACATTTTTCTGCATTGTGATTAGTCCTTTTGCAAATTTTACAAAAAAGACTAGTACTTTTCTCACCTGCTTTTTCAACCTTCTTAGAAGAATCATCATGATCCTGCTTCTTTTTTGGATTGTAATTCTTTTTTTGTTGATTTTTTGAGATATTTTGAGATTTCTCATTGGTTCTGGACTGGAAAGCCGTCTCTTTGGGTTGATCTTCATGAAAAAATCTTCACTTCTCGTGTGCACGAAATGAGCCAACTAGCTCTTTAATAGAAAGCTTAGAAAGATCTTTCGTCTCCTCAGTGATAGCAACAATGTACTCATACTTTTCTGTGACACTAATTAGAATCTTTTCCATAACTTGTTGGTTAGAAATTGTATCACCGTGATTTCTCATTTCATTAACAATAGTCATGACTCTTGTGCAATATTCATCTATTTTTTCAAATTCTATCATCTTTAAGTTTTGAAACTCTCTTCTAAGAGTTTGAAGATTTATAGTGCGTACCTTTTCGTCACCATACACCTCTGTTTCTAGAGTCTCCCAAGCTTCTTTTGCAGTCTCACAAGTAGCAATTCTTGCAAAATATGCTCTTGAGACTCCCATTTGGATTTTGCTCAAGGCTTTTGCGTCTTGACGATACTTAGCCTCAAGATTTTTCATCTCTGCTACTAAAAGTTCACCATCGTTTTCTGGCTCTTCATAGCCATTTACAACAATAATTCACAAACCTTCAGCTTTTAGATGTGTTCTCATTCTTATCTTCCAGTATTCAAAATCATTTCCATAAAAAATGGAATAAGAACAACTGAAGAATCAACACCTTCATTTGTTTTGGATGCCATAATTTTTCTTCACCTAACCCCATATTAAGAGCGAAAACTTGCTCTGATACCAATTTGTAGGAAATATAGAAGGAGAATACTATTTTAGAGAATGCTCAAGTTTTATATAGGCTACTTAAGGCCACTTGAGATGATTACAATCATCAACTACATCTCTATTTATACTACTAATAATGTAAATCAAAGGTCTTGCACAAATACCTAGATACATGTATCACAATTTATTAGATACATGTATTACAAAATTCTAAAAGACTTCTTGAAAAACTAATAAACAATTTTGGAAGACTAAACATTAATGTGGATGCATTAATTCCAACATATAGATGGTGCAAGCATAGGTGATTACAATAATACCCTTTCGTATTGCAACGATAAAAATGACGATACAATCATCATTATTTTTAGAGAAAGAACCCAAGGGAGATTGACATAATGTTTACACCGTCATCAGTTGTTGCCAATATGACATCGTTTGCACCACCAAACAGTTATGTACACACCTTGTACATGGCAATATGGGCATGAAGAGACATGCTGACTAATGTGTCAATGGCATTACCCAACACATTAGCATCATGAACAAAGTTTCCAACAGTAGTGCTTAAAATATGTGTGTCATGGCCTGACTCATCAAATGGTGGATTGGTAGACCAACCCAAAATAAAGTCTATGAAGAAATGCAAAGGATTTCATATCAAATATAGTAAAATCTCACTAAATTACAACAATTTTGTAGTTTTCAGCTATTCAGAATAGCTGCAACCTACTATTATTACAGAGCAAACATAAAAGATTGTCAATTATTCCAATTTAACAGATATTGGAATTCTTACAACATACTTGTTAGAGATCCATGATAAAGCTCCTTGAACAAAGCGATCGGTGATTAATCCCGTTTGGGTAAATGATACTGAATAAGTTGCCTGTTGGTTTACCTGGGCGAAGACAAGGGTGGCGGGCTCAACAACTACATCGACTCCTTGAATTTGAGTGATGTTAACGGTGTAAGTTGAGCTTGCATCACCAACGTTTGTAACCGTTCTTGTATAATTCTGAGTCTGTGGTCCAAGTATAATGGAGAAAGAAGGATAATTCAGTTCTGCCTCAGATATACTTGATTGTAGTGAACACTTGATAGTTTGTTGCACAAGGAGTTCAATATCTTTATCCTTGTAGCCTAGACCACATAGATATTGGATGTAGTTCTCAACTTTGATGTCATAAATAAGTCCGGGATCACTTGCTTTTGATGGATTTACATGGCCGGCACCAGTGGCAAAAATATCAGCAGGTAGATCCCTTTGATCAAGGATGGGTTGACCTTCGAGGTTGAATTGATCAGCTGTAGTCATTATCGCGGATTTAATAGTAGCTGGTGACCAATCAGGGTGTGCACTTTTAAGCAGAGCTGCAATGCCACTAAGGTGAGGACAGGACATTGAGGTTCCTGAGATGATGTTAAATGTCAAATCAGTGCCAGTTTTGTTCTCTACCGAGACGGGCCATGCTGCAAGGACGTTCACTCCAGGACCGATAATGTCCGGTTTGACTATGCCTGGACTTGCCAAGTTAGGACCCCTGGAGGAAAAAGATGATACAGATGGTGAACTCTTAAAGCCAATGCTTGTGCCTTTGAAAAGGATTCCAGCCGAGGGCGTGGAGGTTGAGTTTATGTATGCTTTAATACTTTCTCCAGCAGTATAACCCACGTGTGTCGCAGGAAGAACATGAGCATCAGCAAATGTGCCATCTCCATCAATCTCTAGGTTGGCAAGAATCATGGCAGCACCACCGGCATCCTTTACTGTCTGGCTTTTCTCAAGTCTTGCTACACCGCCACCTCTGTCACACACGACAACCTTGCCTTTGACATCGGTGTTATTAAGGGATCCTGATGAACAGAGTGCAGCTTCTTGATCGGACAGGCCAGGGTATACCAAGGGCAATAAAGTATGAGGAAAACTCGTGGGCTGAAAAGCCGATTCACCATCATATTCTTGTCCGTTCCCTAGCACAGCTGTTGCCACTATCTTCCTATCATGGGTGCTAGCGCCAACTGTGAGAATCCAAGGGGCCTCATTAGATAATGTAGAATTCAACGGGCCTTCATTACCAGCAGAAGCGCTCACAAAGATACCCTTTTGCATTGCAGCAAATGCCCCAGTGGCAATACTATCTTCATAAAACGGATCAGAAAATCCTCCGATGGAGAGAGATAGCACGTCAACACCATCGTCTATTGCAGCATCTAATGCAGCCAATATATCAACATCTGAACAACCTTCTGTACACACCTTGTACATAGCAATGTGAGCAAGAGGGGCCATACCGGCTGCTGTGCCATTGGCATTGCCAAACAAACTTGCATCATCGACAAAGTTACCAGCTGCCGTACTTGAAGTATGCGTGCCATGACCTTCATCATCAAAAGGTGGATCACTTGAACCACTCACCAAATTCCTCGCGCCAATGATCTTCTTGTTACACGTCACATTTCCTGTGAACTCACATTTCCCTTTCCACTTTGCCGGTGGAGATGGCATGTTCTCATCACTAAAAGATGGATGACTCGGAGTAATCCCAGTGTCTAGAACCCCAATAATCACACCCTTACCATAATTTGATTCTTGCCAGAACCCCATATTCCGATACAACCCCAAGAAGTTTGGAGTATGCGTTGTATGCAAAGCTAAAATCTTCTCAACCCTCGCGGACACAAAACCATCTTTCTTCTCCATTTCTTTTACCTCCTCAGCTGACAATCTGGCCGCAAAGCCAATAGCCACATGGTGATAGGAGTGAATAATGCGCGATGGCCCCTCTGTACCAGCCAACACTTCCGGTAAAAAGGAGTTGTAGTAGCTTTCTAGATCAACCGAGTTAGCAAGAGTTCGGGCATCTGGCTTATTTACATGAACAAGGTAAGTTTGCAATGCAGTTGAACGTTGCGCAACTGTCAAATGCAAACTCAACAAGAAAGCAATAGAGAAAATAAAAATGTAAGTCATGGTTGATCTTTGGCTATGGATGATCTAAGTTTAATTTAAGGAACATATTATATATAGTATACACAATGAACAGAGGAAAAAATAATGTTATAAACTAATATAGGAAAACAAAAACATAGGTAATTTCTAAGTGAGCCGGCTTAGGAACAAAATTGTTGTATTTATTTACTAAAGTATTTATTAAGGGAGAAACATCATAAGAAATAAATTACAACAATATTGGATTATTTGGAAACTATAATTGATATCGTCGCCAAAGGCGATAATTCTGGTGTTTGTTTATGTAAGAAAAATATAATATTGGATATTTCTCAACTCCAATATAGTCCAACAAGATTTTCTAATTGTTGTATTCATAGTTAGCCATGCATAGATTATGTATTAATTATTTCATTGGTTGATTAAATTCATATTATCAGCTCAACTCAGTGTTACAACAACAACAATATACTCAGTGTAATCCCACAAGTGGAGTAAAGTCTGGGGAGGATAGAGTGAATGCAAACCTTACTCCTACATTGATAAGGTCATAAAAGAAAGAAGAATTAAATAAATAGTAATGTACCTGTTGTATGGAGGAAATAAGTAGTTAACGAATGAGTACTCATTAATTGAAGCTGTTAATTCCATCAAAATTACATGTAACTAATGGAAGTAGCTATTTGTTTTTCTAATCTATTATGGAAGTAGCTTAGCTTTTTTTTTCTTTGAACTTATGAACTAAACCTCATGTTTATTCTACAGTAAAAAATACAATGAAATGGGCTTAACATATGAAAAATCAGCCCTGCTTCTTACAAGTCTCTCAGATGCAGAATCTAATTCTTGAACTTGAGTTTTTCAGAAGGGTATACACTATCGAGTCTACGTCCATTTTGTCCATGTCCATGCCCATACGAAAAATCTCTGCCACGAAACTTCTTACTTTGTGTTCGTTTACTGTCGGCTTCACTGCCTTCCTCCTGTTTGTTTCTCCTACGACTGTTATATGTAAATGGCACAAGAATTATGGTGTGACCAAATAGAGAAGATCGAGCAATAAATTGCTAACAAAAGTGTGTGAAATACAAACCTGAAATGCAGTAACAGATACAAAACACCAACAAGTGCAGTGCCTCTAGCAACTGTTTTTAGCAATGGCCTCTGTCGACGTTTGTCTTTTAATTCACCAGCATCTGTTTCTTGACTTCCCTTTGAAGCATTTTGCTCCAAAGCATGTGAAACTTTATGCTTTCTGTCACCCTATTTAACAATAAGAAACGAAAAAATGCCAATGTGATTGACAGGTGAATTCTTGAAATTACTAATGGAAAATGAGTCGGAGTTCAAGAAGATTCATGCTGAAGAATACTTACATCATCTCCTGAAAGTGTTGGTTCACATACTTCATTTGCATCACCTGAACTGTAGACAGAGCAGGAACAGGGGTGCCCTTTTTCGATATGTTCACAACAATTTGCAGAAATAATGGAATTCCGATCCATGTCAACACCATCCAAAGTCATGGATGGTTCACATGTACTACTGACAACCTCAGAAACAAATTTGAGATACTGTGAATCACCATCACATCCTTCACTTCTGTCAACTAAAGACACATTCTTAAGATTATTTTTCCATGCAGCAGTATCAAGACAAACCATATCTTTACTTCTTCCAACCTTGATATCTACATCTGGATCAAAGTAATTTGAGTTATTTCTATGCAATGAAACAAATTTATCTGTAAGAGGCTGTGCGGAAGCAGATAGCAGTTCATCTGAACCGGGATATGTGAGCTCACTGAGACTGGCAGAAATTTTAGGCTTTACCACAGAAGGTTCCTTGGTATCATGAAAAACAAGTTCAGTAGTTGCAACACTCCATGCTTCATGACTTGCAGATAAATCCTTATGCTGCCGATCAGCCTCATTTTCCAGCAAGGAACCAGACGTTTCTTCTGTTAAACATTCGTCTGCATCAAATTGGTCATCAAAATCCAAAGCATGCACCCGACCTAGTACAGAGCTCATGCTAGTGGTTGATGAAACTTCGGCGTCTTCATTATCAGAATATTTATGCTGATGTCCATTCTGGAAAGTCCCTTTACCGGAATTTGGTCTATGAGAATCAATTGCCATAAATAAGTTCAAAATATTATCTTCACCTTCCCGCAAAACAGGCGTACTACCATCAGTTCCACCAATAATTGAATCTGAGAATGATAAGTAGTTGGAAATACAACTACCTTCCATTTCGTTATCATACATAGAATCTCCAACAATTGACTCATCATTTTCCGCATTAAGGTTACTATAATCAAAGTGTATCTTATCATTGGGACTAATATATTTCCCTCCATTTCCTAGAGAAGTTCTGTTTTTCTCTCTTCCATTCTTGCTAACAGCTGAATATTCACCAATAGAATTGTCTGCATCTGAATCTGTGGCATTACCATCTTCAAGCTGATTCATAGATGAGCAACAAGACTCTTCTCCCACAAATTTGCTCTCAGCCTCATCAGACTCTTCAGATGAAGAATCATAGTTTGCTTCAGACTCTGTGATTTTATTTCTCTATAGCATTCATAAGGATATATTAGCATCTCTCAGATAAGAGTGTAAACATTTTTATTATAAGGAGAAAGAAAATAGTGTAATATTTCCAACTAATGGTGCATTTAACATACCTCCGTAAGTTTTGATCTTGTTTCTTTATATGAGTAATAACCAGAAGAACTTGAAAGGCTGCCCTGTGATGTCTCCAAGCTTCTTCGAATGCCACCCACCATATTTTTTGGCATGACTACCGTAGAGGTCACCAAGTCGAAGTCAGGAACCTAAGGCATATAAAAAGGTTTATAGCAGAAGTAAAGCAAGTACAAGAGTTCTACCGCAACCCAGAGAACATAATAACCAGCCAAAGAAGCAGAAGCTATCCAGAAGTAAGTGAACTGTGTAACTGGATAAAAAAAGGAAATGAAAAATGTCTGCAAGAAGATTTTTACCTTCAATTGTTTGGAACGGGCCTTATTTGAGAGTGCCCTTAAGCAAATGCAAACTTTCCGAATGTTCTTTTTCTCAACGACATCTGATGGGGAGAAGAGATCAATACCATTTAATCCCAGTATTTTGCAGATCTGCCAAAACCAGGGATTATAAGGTTTGTCCCCTTTTATCAGTCTCATTAAGGGGTTTTCTCCCCCTCATAAATAGTAGTATCATTATTTTGCCATTGAAACAGAACCAAATCAGAAGAACTTACCTTCAAAAATGAGTCAACATTAGAATATGGCATATATCTTCCACTGCATCTCCGTGATCCAAGTGGTTCATACTTCATATGTCTTAGCTCTCCGCACTTTGCCAATAGCATATTCCATAAATCTTTGGCAACTTCAAACCTACACAGGTCATCTTTTCCAGATGTTAAAATACAAGGCCATATCCCTCTGGTAAAATGCAATCTTCAGAGTATAAAGTGATCTTATACTCCAGATTAGAAAAGATCAGAACGTACATTCAACAAAGGTGCAAGTAATGGAAAAAATAAGAGAAAGTAGTTTGAAATGGTTTGGTCATGTCCTAAGTAAGTCTTCAAACACAACAATCCATATATGTAAGTATGTGGAGACATGATTGTCATTGAAGCTGTTAAAAGCGGCAGGTAGACGAAAAAACTCTTTGACAGAAGTTGTTCCAAAAGACATACGATCTCTATTAATTTGGCAGACTTGAAGAATATTAACACAATTAAAGTAAGATATCTATACAAGGCAATACCAATAAACTGGAATCAAGATTCAATCATTGTTGGTGCACTTAAAATTAGACCTGGAGTTGTTAGTAGTTTTTTTAGTTTTAATTGGGATTTCTATGCTAGTGAAAGGATAAATGGGAGATTTAGAGAATTCCTATTTTAAGCACCTGTAGTTTGTCTTAAATATGAGTGAAATAGGTCTAAAAATAGAGGAGATTAGATAAAGGATTCAATCCAATTACTTTGGAAGTGGGTCCTGAATCTTTGCTGCATCATTGCAGCTTTGAGGGATCCTAAGTTTCCATACACTAAGAACCATTGATTCTTAGGTGAAGTAATACAATGGCCGGTTTCAAACACGGGGCAAGATCTAGTACAGGTGTAAGGGTTGATTAACAGATTAAGCATGCATGGATTAATACTTCTCTACACCGCATAGAATCTCAATTTCCAGGAGCACACAACATGATGGAAGCGGAGCCCTCCCCATTGGATAAAATGAAGAAATAAATGTTAATGTTCCCTTTGTTGTTTTCCTAATATTGGTAGTTGAGATTTAAGAAGCAATAGAATGTTTCAACACAACAAGGAGAACTTTAGGGACTTAAAAGGGCTTACTTTGTGCCATATGTTCTTTTGAGGTAAGGAAAAATAATTATTAGGATAGGCTTGACAGAACATCAAGAATATCACACAATTCCAAGTGTACATACATGATTTTAACACCATATTCGAGAATCAATAGATTGATTTTTATCTTCTATTGGTAGCTAAAAATAAAAACTTGAAAAATAATTCAGTTTTGATTCCAAAACAAGAAAATATAACAAAGTAGACGCAAAAGTAATACAAAGTCTCCATAATCAACGTGTTCTTAGTTTAATCCCACTAACTGCAATAAAGCTTTTTCCTTATCAAACACAACATTAACACGACAAACTGGATACATAAGCCAAAAACGAAAAAAAAAAATGTAACAGTGTCAAGGTGCAAGAACTAGAACAATTAGTCACAGCATTATAAGCAATCTTGTTCCTAGTATACACCTCGACTAATTCCACAGATACCTACCACCTCCCACCAGCACCCAGTACCAACTGAAACCATCATTGAAACACCAAAACAGTTGGAAAACCTCTACTTAGAAACTTCAACAAAAAATGAAAAATTCTACCTTTACCATAAAAACATCAGTAAAACCCAAGAAAAGACAATGGGGAAAATGGAAAAAACTTACAAAAGATCTCCATCAGCAAGCAAATCAGAAATATGTAAGGGTCCATCCAATCTCATTTTCAACACTTCCCCAAGCCATATCCTTGTTTGAGTCTGAAAAAAAAAAAAAATTAACCACAAATTTCAAAAAATTCCCAAAAAAGCAAAAAAGGCGAAAGTCAATTCACCTGCAAGAACACATCATCAAGTTCTCGAAAGCTAGATTCAGCTGAAGATTTTGAAGAATCGCCACTGTAGCCGCCCATTTTTGTTTTTGAATAAGTCAAAAACAAGTGAACCAAATCACTACAGTGACATAATAGCTTAGGTATTTGACATTAATGGTGAAATTTAATGTGAGGATGGCGTAGCAGACGCGTATTTAAATTTTAGGGCAGATAAATAGTTATAGTTCTTGTGGACTGTGTTTTACTTTTTTAGATCAGAAGAAAATTCAGTCACTTTTTCCTAATTTCCTGGTATGTTTGAAAGTAGACAAAATTTAAAATAACATCACAATCTTTATGGGTCCACAATTTTTGAATTTTTTTTTGTTTTTTAGGTAGGTGCGAGTTGTGATGAGATAAATTTTGACGTAATTCAGTGCAAACAAGTGATAGGATTGTATCTAACGTGATATACTATTTTTATATAGATAGAAAAATTTGATGTAATTCCGTGCAAACGAGTGATAGGATTATATTTGATATACTATTTTTATATAGATAATGTTACGTAGATGTATTCCGATGTTTTGGTTGTTCAATCATGTCATGAACAATATTTTTTTAAAAAAAATTGATTCGTGTTTAAATTGTTTTTTTTTTTTTGGTTCATCCTGGTGTAAAAAGCTATTTAAGTTTAGATGTTTTAATATAACAAATAATTGAGCTAAGAAAAAGGCTTTGCACGAGGGGAGGAAAGTTTATAAGCTAATTACTTAGATACATATTAATTTGCAATATTATGTATCTTATCAGATTTTGATGCATCGAAATACGTTCAGTTACGTCTAGATATATGTATCTAGGATACATGATGTCAAAAATAGGTGTAATTTGTTCTAAATACATTGTATCCAAGTGGATTTACATGTATCTAAGATACATGACGAATATCGTTCGTCTTTCTCGCCTCACTTCCATCTCGCTTGCCACTCTCCTATGTATCTAGGATTTGAGATACATGTGAATCACACTACATATATATGTGATAAATATATCTAGTGTGATTCGCATGTGTCTAGATACATATCGAATCTTGTTTGCCTCCCTCCCCATCTTTGTGTATCTTATAACAATAATATATGTATCTAAGTGTATATTCCTCAAGATATGCTAAGAAACTCTTAATTAGTAGTAAGATACATAATATTTTAGAAGTATATATAATAATAGTATATGTGATAGTGAAATATGTTTAATTACATAATTTTTCGTAAATTCATATCAAAGTAGAGCTGTTAAAATGGATTTGGCCCTATCTTTTATTCAAGTATATATGGTTGGGCTAAAATTTCTTAGCCCATTTAAAAGTGAAGCTCAATAACACAGCCTCTATTGGCCCGTTGATGTCAAAATGGGTTGTCCTAGCCCAATCTCTCTTGGCCCAATTTTTATTAGCGTGTACGGTTCGATGTGATTTGGTTTGATTTGTTACTATTATAAAATAAGATGGTCCCTTATTCCAATTTAACAAAGATTGGGCATATATCAACATACTTGAACAATTTTTATTTTTTTTTTAATATAAAGATCATTTGTTTGAAATACTCCCTAGAGATGGTCCCTTATTCCAATTTAACAAAGATTGGGCATATATCAACATACTTGAACAAATTTTTATTTTTTTTAATATAAAGATCATTTGTTTGAAATACTCCCTAGGGGTGGGCATCTATATTCGTTCGGGATTCTCAAATTCTTGGTTCGATACTTTTGTAATTGATAGTTAAAAGTAGATTAAATATTAAAATATTCGATAATACTATATTGAAGTTTTAGCCGATTGTATTACAAAGTTAATGCTATTTCTCCAATTATTTCTGTGTTTTTTTTTATGTGGAGGCACATATAATAGAAGATCAACAAGTAAGAAGACATAAAGAAAAGCAAATTGATAAAACTAAAAGACATGTATTTGAGTTGTTTATGTTTATTCTTTAACTATCTCTTTCCACTTATAATAATGAGTAATAGACATGTTGATATGTGACCTTCATTAAGAATAATTCGATATTCGGGAAATACCGAATACTAAGTGGTACTAATGTCTCATACCAAACCCAAATCCGAATATCATAATTTTATAATTTTACACCCAAATATCAAACCGAATACCAAAATTACCAATTTTTTTGATTTGATTCGGTAATTCAGTTTTCGATATTTTATGCCTAGCCCTAATACTCTCTACGTTCACTTTTACTTGTAATTTATTTCTAAAATAAATTTTCATTTTTACTTGTTAGTTTAGGCATATCAAGAAAAGACAATTATTCCTTCCATATTTTACCCTTAGCTTTAAATATTATTCTTCAAATAATTTTCCAAAACCAAATACTAAACATCAATTAATAGGGACAATGTGGTAAAATACCTATATCAATAATTATTTTCTTAATAGGGTGCCGAGTTAACAAGTAAAAATAAACGGAAAGAGTAGTATCAAGAAGGTTTATTAATTTTTTTTTGTGAATTAAACATCTTTTTAAATATAAATTGATAGATATATTGGCGTATTCTTATTTTTCTTCTTCTTTTCTTTGGCTTTATGTGCAGTAAAAGACTATGTGATTTACTCTAATCCCACATCGAGAAAAAATAAAATTAGTTTAAGGTTTAAATATGATTAACTGCTTGTAACTTATTGCCGAGCCATGTAACGTTGGCTTGTAACCAAGTGGGGCATTAAAGTGGTTTGGATGTTTGATAAATGGGCTTGATAATGCGGGTGCCGTTGGGCTTCTCTACTCTTGGCAGAATGGTGCACGCCACAGCTCTACATGAGCTGGTAGCATTAAAAACCATTGATTTACTGGGGTTAATGCTTGAGAGGCCCCAAAGTTGCGGGAAATAACTAGTGGTCCAAATGGCGCCTCTAGCCTGCATCTCTTAGAGAGGATTCCTCGGTTCTGATTAAGCGTGCCTATTAGGCCCAATCTAACATACAACCACTTTTTGAAATTTGTTTATAATCTATTCTTGGTTCTGATTAAGCGTGCCTATTAGGCCCAATCTAACATACAACCACTTTTTGAAACTTGTTTATAATTTTACAAAAAGATAGCCCCTTATTCCAATTTAACAGAGATTGGGCTTCTAACAACATACTTGTTAGACATCCATGATATAGTTCCTTGAACAAAATGGCCAGTGATGCTACTACCTATTTGTGTAAAGGAAACTGAATAAGTTGCTTGTTGGTTCACCTTGGTGAAGGCAAGTGTGGTTGGCTCAACAACTATATGGACTCCTCGAATTTGAATGATGTTAACGACATAAGTTGAGCTTGCATCACCAACATTTGTAACCGTTCTTGTATAATTTTGTGACTGTTGTCCTAGTATAATAGAGAAAGAAGGATAGTTTAATTCTGCCTCAAGTATGGTTGATTGTAGTGAGCATTTGATAGTTTGTTGCACTATGAGTCCAATTTGTTTATCGGTGTAGCCAAGACCGCATAGATACTGGATGTAGTTATGCGGTTGGATGTCATAAATAAGTCCCGGATCATTTGCTTTTGATGGATTTACATGTCCGGCACCAGTAGCAAAAATATCAGCTGGTAGATTCCTCTGTTCAAGGATGGGCTGACCTTCAAGATTGAATTGATCAGCTGTAGTCATTATCGCGGATTTAATAGCAGCTGGTGACCAATCAGGGTGTGCACTTTTAAGTAGAGCTGCAATGCCACTAAGGTGAGGACATGAGATTGAAGTACCCGAGACTATGTTAAATGTCAAATAGGTGTCAATTTTGTTCTCCGCTGAAACGTGTGTTGCTGCAAGGATGTTCACTCCAGGACCGATAATGTCTGGCTTGACTATGCCTGGACTTGCCAAGCTAGGACCCCTAGAGGAAAAAGACGATACTGATGGTGCACTCTTAAAGCCTATGCTACTTCCTTTGAAAAGGATTCCTGCCAAAGGCGTGGAGGTTGAGTTTACGTAGTCTTTAATCATTTCTCCTGCACTATAACCTACATTTGTCGTAGGAAGGACATCAACATAAGCTAACGTGCCATCTCCGTCAATCTCTAGATTGACAAGAACCATGGCAACACCACCTGCATCCCTTACTGATTTTCCTTTCTCAAGTCTTGTTACACCACCGCCTTTGTCACACACGACAATTTTGCCTTTGACATTAGCGTTATTCAGTGATCCTGATTTACATACTGCAGCTTCTTGATTTAACAAGCCAGGGTACACCAAAGGAAATAAGGAATGACAGTCTGTGGGGTGAAAAATCGATTCACCGTCATATTCTTGTCCATTTCCTAACACAACGGTTGCCACTATCTTCCTATCATGGGTGCTAGCGCCAACTGTGAGAATCCAAGGGGCCACATTTGATAGTGTAGCACTGAGTGGACCATCATTACCAGCAGAAGCACTCATGAAGATACCCTTTTGGATTGCAGCAAAAGCGCCAATGGCCATACCATCATCATAAAACGGAGCAGTATATCCACCAATGGAGAGAGAAAGCACGTCAACACCATCGTCTATTGCAGCATCAATTGCAGCCAATGTGTCAACATCGGAACAACCAGAGTCTGAACACACCTTGTACATAGCAATGTGAGCAAGAGGGGCCATGCCGGCTGCTGTGCCATTAGCATTGCCAAACACATTTGCATCATCAACAAAGTTTCCAGCAGCTACGCTTGATGTAAGCGTGCCATGGCCTCCTTCTTCAAAAGGTGGATCAGTTGAACCCCTCACAAAATTCCTCGCACCAATAAGCTTCTTATTACACGTTACATTCCCTATGAATTCACATTTCCCTTTCCATTTCTCCGGTGGAGGTGGCATGTTTTTATCACTAAAAGATGGATGACCTGGATTAATCCCAGTGTCTAGAACCCCAATAATCGTACCTTTACCATAATTTGACTCTTGCCAGAACCCCACATTCCGATACAACCCCAAAAAGTTTGGAGTATGCGTTGTATGCAAAGCTAAAATCTTCTCAACCCTCGCGTACACAAAACCATCTTTCATTTCCATTTCTTTTACCTCCTCAGCTGACAATCTGGCAGCGAAGCCAGATACCACATGGTGATATGAGTGAATAATTCGCGATGGCTCCTCTGAACCAACAATCTCTACCGGTAAAAAAGAGTTATAATAACTTTTCAAATCAGCCACAACTTGTACATCAGGCTTATTTACATGAACAAGATAATTTTGCAAACCTGTCTGAGGTTGAGCAACTACGAAATGAAAAATCAACCAAAAAGCAAACGTGATGATAAAAATGCAAGTCATGGTTAGTCTTTCTATCATCATATACAACACCAACAGGTTCTTTATAGTACGAGTGTTAACGGAAGAATAAGGATACGATAAACCAAGCAAAGAAACCGGCTTATCAACAATGTTATTGTTATTTTATTTTAGAATAAAGGAAGAAACATAACAAGAAGACATGAAGCAAACCAGAACGCTGGATTGTTTGAGACGAAAACTGTATTATTTATTTAATTGGCTGATTAAATTAGTAGTTCAATCCTAATCATTTGGAAGCTTAGCTAAAATCCTACCAAAAAATTCAAATATCCAATTTTAATACTACTAAAAATCCAAAATTAACTCTTGGGCGGCCAGACAATGGTGTTAAGTAAACGTCTACGTCAATTAAGCCACGGAAGCAATGACTTTAAGCCCCGAAAAATAAGGCGTCAAAATTATTTAATGGTAATACATATAAATACAAGTAATTATGTATTTATTGTTAGTATTCATTGAAATTTTGTTACTAGTTTGTTGTCAATCTTTTACCAATCATTATGCATATACTTTTAAATTTTTATTATTTTTCTTAAAACTAGTTTTACGGCACGTGCACGTGCCGTGTGTATCGTATATATATAGTATATGACGTTGTAAGATAGAATTACTATTACTAAATTAAAGTTTTTTAGTAAATAATTATAATTGAACGAACATAGGACAAGTGTTTTTAAATTATTAATACATATTGTCATAGAGTTACTTGTATTTTGAGATCAAAATGACCAGACATCATTAAAACATTTCAAAATACATTCAAAGTTTAAATATGGGAGAAAGTGACATTTCTTTAATAATATTATTTCTTACTTCACTCAATTTTGTAAACAAATCTAACCAACAAAATAGAGAAAAAAATATCCATTCAAAAAATGTCACCAATATCCTTTACTCTTGAAGTTATGAGCATAAATGATGTACACCGTTTAAGTACAAATTTTGTCTTAAATATTAATATTTGAAATTTAGTATGATATGGCACTAATAAGGATTATCATAAGTATTTCAATATTTTATCTTTATATGTAACATATCTTTTACAAAATATTATTACTCTATTAATATTTGAGTAAGGCTATCATAGAGAGGTAATTTTACCAAAAAAGTGTATTTGGTTGTTATCATGAATGGTGGTTATATAGACTTCAGTAGAATAATTTAATTTTAATATATGAATAACATCACCTATGTTGAAAAATATTTCATTTCATTAAGTTTCTACCTTATCTTTGTGGAATGGTAGTCTTCTCCTTTTTTCTGCCACATACATATCATATAGTTGTTGTCTAATGAAAGTATCTAGTATCTTATAGAAGTTGTATCATGATATAGAATGTTTAAATTTTTCAATAATAAAAATTAATAGATGAATAAAATGTAAAGTATTATTTATATATCTTACCCAAATCATATGCCTTTGTTCATATCTGTTTAATACTATTGTCTCGATCTCCCACAACTTTTCGTCACTGTTAACTCATGAAAATGGTAAGAAAAAATACGACTGTGAATTGATGAATGATTTGCTATAATTTTTTCACCAACTTTTTCTTATGAGGTACCTCAAATTTCGTTGAATTTGGAACTTATTCAATTTTTGCAAATAACACTTAGATTTTTTAAGAAGAGGAAGAGTAGAGAACTTAAAGAAGTTGTAGTTTAAAAATGTGAGGAACCCCCCTTTTTTTTTTATAGCTACCAAATAGTAGTATGAATAGGTGTTAATTGTGTCTTATCCGAAAAGTACAAACTTGCTAAAAACTCACTATTTATCGAAAAAGTAACAACCCTTTGAAAAAGGCACCACTCATCAGAAAAAGGTACAACCCTTTAGAAAAATCACAACCCTTCGAAAAAATCACAACCCTTCGGAAAATTCACAACTCATTGAAAAAGTCATAACCCGTCAAAAAAAGTGACAACCCTTTGGAAAAGTCGCAACTCATTGAAAAAGTCACAATCCTTTAATTTAAAAATGTATCTACTTTCAATATAATAAAATTAATAAATAAAATAAATTGAGTATTTTTTATTGGGGGTATTATAGTAATTCAACATTCAAGTTTGGGAGTTCATGCTTTTAAGGTAGTATAGATACGATTAGTAATTATAATTAAAAGTTGTAGGCAATTAAACTGCAATTACTTTCTACTTGTAATTGGTATACTCAATCGAGGTTAAGTCTCAATTTTTATTTTTTTTAATATTCCTACTACTTGTAGAATATTTTGATAGTTTGTATAACAATTAATTTAATTGATAAATTTTTAAAAACTATAATCAATAAGCTATAATTGATAACAACTTATCTAAGATATAAACATTTGTAGTGTTATATATCATACAATAATTTATATTATACATATTCGTGTGTTACGAATTATGAGAAGAAATATTATATTGACAATTGAAAAAAAATTTAATTATCATGTTTTTTAGAATTTATGAGAATAATATATATATAATAGTATTAAATAAACATAATATCTCTTTTTTTAAAACTTCGTTGAATTGGGCTTTTTCTGGTGACGAAGATGTGACCACCACTTAGTTTGATAGTTAATTGAGAAGCAACATTGAACTAAATGATAAGGTTAGTGCCCATCGTGTTGTCGCTATTGACAACTTTGGGATTGTTGCATTGGCCATTGTTGCAATTCCGGGGAATGCTGTATCTCCCTAGATGTAAGAACTGAATGTGTTTTTGCTAGAAAGGAAAATAAATTATATTATAGTGTTTTGTTGTTGCCAAACACTTTCTATTAAAATGTGAAAATAACTCCTTCAGAATTTTATATCATAAACCAAAACACTTAAAACGTAATTATAAATCTCTAATCATTAATACTATTTTAATTTTATAGACCAAGAAACCAAGGAGTCATCCAATCTTGTATTGCTATATCCATTTCACTCAAAGAATCATTTTTCAACGCAATTGAATCCAAAACATTGTAAATGACATGATGAACAACAAGCGCGATGTAATTTTTATTTGCTACTTGGAAGAATCTAGCTCTAATTATGTAGGCTCGACATAATCATGATAAAGTTTGAGAAATTTCACGAACGAATACTCGAAAGTCAACTTTTAGATTCTGAATTGGTGTCCATAGCCACATGAGTTCCAAAGTGCTAACCATAAATCTAGAAGTCAACTTAGCTTTTGCAACATGGCCAACTAAAATGTTAATTTTGAATTATTGCCTATAGATTTCTCCTTTTCAGCTTAAAGATATTTTACTTTGCTTATTAATTTATTAGCCTTATCTTGACTCAGCACAGTTCTCCTGATCGAACATCGTTGAAAATATGAGTTGCTTAACATTTACTGGGGGAAAATTGGTATAAGATTTCATTTTTTTGTACTGTTGGGTTGACAAGAGTGAAAAAAGACAACATAATAGTATTTGATTTTATTGCAAATGAAATAAAAACAGAAGAGGAAGATACATTTATGTTGAACATAGTTTTATTGCAAATGAAAAATCTTGATCAGTGTGTCACTGAATTCAGCTTCTTCATAAAAATCGAACAGCGATTTGGCTCCTAACAATGTGTTTTTCAGAAATCCATCTGAAAGATCCCTGACTAAAAGTGGTGTTTTGTAAAGTAGCCAAAGGTGTAAATGTCACTTGATAGCTCAGTTTTTGTTTCACCTCTGAAAAAACAAGTGTAGTTGGTTCAACTTTCACATCAAGACCCGGCGGTGAACCAATTTTAACTCTGTATGTTGAGTAGGCTTGTCCTACGTTCGTCACAGTTCTTGAATATACTTGAGCTGTTGAGTTGACTCTGACTAGGATCGAAAATGATGGATAATTTAGTTGACCTTCTAAGATGCTAGTAATCTCTGAACAATTAGCTTTGCGTTGCAGAAAGATCCCAACTTGTCTGTCTGTGTAGTTTAAACCACATAGATAAGATAAGTAATCAGATGGTTCTATGTCATAAATCAGGCCAGGATCATTTGCTTTTGATGGATTAACGTGGCCTGCACCCGTGGCAAAGACATCAGCTGGAAGGTACGTCTCATCCTCGATTAAGTTGGATCTGAGGTTTAAATCATCGGCTGTTGTCATAATTGCTGACTTAATTGCAGCAGGAGACCAATCGGGGTGAACACTTTTTAGTAGTGCTGCAACGCCACTGAGGTGAGGACAAGACATTGACGTGCCTGAGATCATGTTGAATCTCGAGTTGGTATTTGTGTTGTTTTCCAAGGAAATATGCCAAGCTGCTAGGATATTAACACCAGGACCAATAATGTCTGGTTTTAGAATTCCAGGACTTGCATAATTTGGACCCCTGGAAGAAAATCCAGCAACCACTGGAGCACGATCATCTCCGATTATAGTTCCCTTGAATACTATTGTTGCAGTAGGGATCAATGTTGAGTTTATATACTCTTTGATTTTTAAACCAGCTGCATAGCTAACGTGTGTGACCGGAAGGACATGTACCTCGGCCAATGTTGTGTTAGCCATGTCTTCTGGATTCATAAGAATCATGCCAGCACCACCAGCTGCCTCAACTGCTATTCCTTGATCAACTCGTGTCGTTATACCAACCTCACACAACACAATCTTTCCCATGACATTCGTGTTATTCAACGAATCAGGGGTACAATATTTAGCATTAAAGTTACTAACATTGCTTCCAGGATAGATAAGAGGCAACAGTGTTGGAGGAAAGTCACTAGGTTGAAAGGCTGATTCTCCGTCGAATTCTTGATTGTTTCCGAGCACAGCAGTGGCTTTGATTTTCCTATCGATCGTGCTTGCACCAACAGTTAAAATCCAGGGCGCTTCATTAGACGTTGAAAAACTGGACGGCCCTGAATTTCCAGCAGCACAGCTGACAAAGATTCCCTTTTGCATAGCACTAAATGCACCAAGTGCAATGTTGTCTTCATAGAAATTGTTAGTTAATGTACCAAGGGAAAGAGAAAGCACGTCGACGCCATCATCAATAGCCATATCCATTGCAGCCAAAACATCGCTCTCAGAGCAAGTGAGAGCAGAACACACCTTGTACATTGCAACATGAGCAAGAGGTGCAACGCCCACGGCTGTGCCATTAGCATTACCAAAAATGTTAGCACCTGGCACAAAACGTCCAGCAGCCGTGCTAGCAGTATGTGTACCATGCCCTATCTCGTCCCATGATGTCTCATTCCCTGAGGACTGGAAGTACCTCGCGCCAATGAGCTTGTTGTTACACTTTGTGACATTAAATTCACACTTACCCTTCCATTTAGCAGGGGAGGTGGCATCCCATCATCGTTAAACGAAGGGTGGTCTGGGAAAATCCCCGTGTCAATAACTCCAATGATCACACCTTTCCCATAATTCGAGTCATTCCAGAACCCCATATTCTGGTGCAACCCCAAGAAATTGACACTATGTGTGGTGTATAAATCAAGTAGCCTCTCGGGGCGTGCTGAGATAAATCCTTCCATTTTCTCCATTTCCTTTAAGTCATCCGGCGACAACTTAACTGCAAAACCTGTTAGAACATTGCGATAGGAATATATTAAACGTGGCGCCTCACGAGAACTATCTGAGGTTGTTGCAGGCAAGAAAGAAAGATACCAGCTATCTAAATCTTGATATCTGGTACCTCTATCGCCATCGGGGAACTGACAATGAACAATATAGACTTCTGAATTTCTCTGTTCTTGATCTTCTTTTGGTCTTTGATAAACAGGATGTTCAGTTGCATTACTGGTGAATAAAAAGAAAACACAAATTAGCCCAATTATAGTGACAATTGAACTAAATTGAGCCATGACAACTTTAAGAAAATATGAGTTTGGATTATATCTACAATGGAGGGATATTGAAGTTAGAAAAATGAAATATTTGTTTGTAGGATTTTAAAAATTTGATTGAGGGTATGTAATATATATATAGTCATTGAAGTATATATTTTTATTTGCTAGTCAGAAGCAATTGTAGATATGTGAAATAGTCGTGCCTGGAGATTCTTGGATTAAATAAAAAAATAGAAATTGATTAGGTCATCAACACGCTAAACACAATTTGATTATATTCCAATTTCTCTTTGATAATGAAATTGACATAGCAACAACATATAGACACGGAGAAGTCGGTGGTCTATGATATACTTTTTCTGTATAAGTAATGTTTGAGCCAACTTGGGCGCACCTAAAGTAATATACCAGACAACTTTATCAGCTCGCAGCTTGAGCTGAAAATATGTATTTATGATGTGCATTATTTAAAAAAAAATTGGTATTCGGTATTTATTTACAAATATTGAAATATCAAATACTACACCGAAATACATAATTAAATATACAATCTATATGAACACCCCTATATTATCTCTCTTAATCAATGGAGAGATGATGAAAGAGAACTAAAATAATGTTATAAGCTTGCACCTCCTCCAAATAATTTTGTTAATTACTTGCATAAATATATGCTTTCTTAGTTTATAAGTTTTGAGATTTGTCAATATTGACAAAATCAAGCATTACCACTTAAAATGACATTTTGTTTTTAATGATAAAAACCATGTGTGGTGCCTTCTTAACTCCATATTTCTAAATCCTTAGCAAACAAGGAACAGAACAACATCTTTCTTGTCAGCTTAAACTTCTATTTTAAGCTAAGTATGCATATCCAAGAAAAAACACCAAACATGCCATTAGTGGCGTATGTAGACTTAGTATTGCGGATTCAATTGAACCCATTATTTTTGACACAGAACTCGGATGTATATGTGAACCGTAATTTTAAAGTGAAGGTAGTGAGTTTGATGCTAAGAATATGAATATGATAGTATTGACAAGAGCGAAAAAAGACAACATAATATTTGTTTTTATTGAAAACAACAACAATATCATACTCAGTATAGTCTTACAAGTGCGGTCTGATGAGGGTGAGGGTGACAAGGCGGGGTGCAACAGAAGAAGAAGATACATTTACAATGATAAACCAAAGTTAACATCTTGAAGATGGTTTTATTGCAAATGAAAATTCTTGATCAGTGTATCATTGAGATCAGCTCCTTCATTTGTTTCTTCAAAATAAATCGGAAAACCCAACAGCAATTGGGCTCCGGACAATATGGTTTTCAGAAATCCATGTGAGAGATCCCTGAGTATATATGGTACTTGGTCTAGAAAAAGGTGTAAATGTCACTTGATAGCTCAATTTTTGTTTCACCTCCGAAAAAACAAGTGTGGTTGGTTCAACTTTCACATCAAGGCCCCGCGGTGAATCAATATCAACTCGATACGTTGAGTTGGCTTGTCCTACATTTGTCACAGTTCTTGAATATACTTGAGCTCCTGAGTTGCTTCTGACTTGAATTGCAAATGATGGATAGTTTAGTTGACCTTCTAAGATGCTTGTAATCTCTGAACAGTTAACTTTGCGCTGCACAATGACAGTAACTTGTCTGTTTGTGTAATTCAAACCACATAAATAAGGTATGTAATCAGATGGCTCTATATCATATATCAGGCCGGGATCATTTGCTTTTGATGGATTAACGTGTCCTGCACCTGTGGCAAAGACATCGGCTGGAAGGTATGTTTCATCCTCGATTAATTTGGATCCGAGGTTTAAGACATCGGCTGTTGTCATAATTGCTGACTTAATTGCAGCTGGAGACCAATCGGGGTGAACACTTTTTAGTAGTGCTGCAACGCCACTGAGGTGAGGGCAAGACATTGAGGTGCCTGCGATCATGTTGAATGTCGAGTTGGTATTTGTGTTGTTCTCCAAGGAAACAGGCCAAGCTGCTAAAATGTTAACACCAGGACCTATAATATCCGGTTTTAGAATTCTAGGACTTGCATAACTTGGACCCCTGGAAGAAAATCCAGCAACCACTGGAGCACGATTATCTCCGATTATAGTTCCCTTGAACATGATTGTTGCAGTGGGGGTTGTTGTTGAGTTTATGTACCCTTGGATTTTTAGACCATCAGCATAGGTAACGTGTGTCACGGGTAGGACATGTGCTTCAGCTAATGTTGTGTTAGCCCAGGATTCTGGATTCATAATAATCATGGCAGCACCACCAGCTGCCTTCACTGCTATTCCTTTATCAATTCCTGCCGTTATACCAGCCACACACAACACAATCTTTCCCATGACATTCGTGTTGTTCAGCGAAGTAGGGTGACAGTATTGAGCAAGAATGTCACTAGTATTGATTCCAGGATAGATAAGAGGCAATAGTGTTGGAGGAAAGTCACTAGGTTGAGAGGATGATTCTCCGTCAAATTTTTGATTGTTTCCAAGCACAGCAGTGGCCTTGATTTTCCTATCGATCATGCTTGCACCAACTGTTAAAATCCAAGGCGCATCATTAGACGTTGAAAAACTGGAGGGCCCTGAATTTCCAGCAGCACAGCTGACAAAGATTCCTTTTTCCATAGCACTAAAAGCACCAAGTGCAATGTTGTCTTCATAGAAATCATTAAATCGAAAACCAAAGGAAATTGAAAGAACATCGACACCATCTTCAATAGCCATATCCATTGCTGCCAAAACGTCGCTCCCAAAACAACCAAGAGCAGAACACGCTTTGTAAATGGCAACATGAGCAAGAGGTGCAACACCCACAGCTGTGCCATTAGCATTGCCAAAAATGTTAGCACCTGGAACGAAACGTCCAGCAGCCGTGCTAGCAGTATGTGTACCATGTCCATCTTCGTCCCATGGATCATTATCCGTGTAGTGGAAGTACCTCGCGCCAATGATCTTGTTGTTGCACTTTGTGGTATTAAATTGACACATACCCTTCCATTTAGCAGGGGGAGGTGGCATCCCATCATCGCTAAACGAAGGGTGGTCCGGGAAAATTCCCGTGTCAATAACTCCAATGATCACACCTTTCCCATAATTCGAGTCATTCCAGAACCCCATGTTCTGGTTCAACCCCATGAAATTGACACTATGTGTGGTGTACAAATCAAGTATCCCCTCGGGGCGTGCAGAGACAAATCCTTCCATTTTCTCCATTTCCGTTAAATCCTCTGGTGATAACTTAGCTGCAAAACCCATTAGAACATTTCGATAGGAATATATCAATCATGGTGCTTCACGAGAACTATCTGAGGTTGTTGCAGGCAAGAAAGAAAGATAATAGCTTTCTAAATCTTGATTTCTGGTAGTCCTTTCCCCATCAGGGAACTCACAATGAACAATATAGATTTGTGAATTGTTCAGTTCAGTTGCATTAGTGGTAAATGGAAAGAGCACACAAATCAACCCAATTATATTAAAAATTGACCTGTATTGAGCCATGATAACTTTAGTACTAGTGAAAGAGCTGTTATTTGGTGAGTATTTTTGGGATTTTGATTGAGGGTATATATACATACTGGAAGTATAGTTTTTTATTTGCAAGCAGAAGCTATTATAGATATTTAATATAGTCATGCCTGGGGAGATACACACTAAAACAATATTATTCTATTTAACTTCTCTGTGACAATGAACTTGGCATAGCAACATCATATAAATGAAGTCATTAATCTACAATATACTTTTTTAAGTAATGTTTGAGTCAACTTGGATGCACCCTAACTAATACATGAGGTGAGTTGTTGACCTCGCAAATACATGTTACCAAAGTAACCGTGCTCATAAAAGTTGGAGCAGATGGACCCACACACCTTGTGTCGTAGCTGAATTTTTAACCTGAAATCTTCAGATGGTTACTCCGATCACTAGGCCATCTCCTTGGGAACCAAAATAAGTTTAGAAGTGTACCTAAACTTGAGTGTTGAAAACAAGTAATCGTCAATAAAATGACAGAGAACCACGAGGTTTCAGGTTTGAATCTCGGTGAAGGCAGAAGAAAATTAATAAAACAAGGATCCATCTTAACTAATGGTGAGATTTGTTGCGAGCGTACACCTCCCTCCAAATAGGCCTGATGTTAGTTAGTTGTTTCTATAATAAAAATATGTTATCTTCTAAGTTTTATAAATTTTGAGTTTTGTCAATATTGACAAAATCAAGCATTATTATCACTTAATTTGACATTTTGTTTGGACTTAAAATTTTGGATTCGCATTTTGGTGACACTATCATCTATCTAGTGTACATCATTTATATTCTCAAAAAGTCATAACCTTATCTTCAACTGGATAACACCTTTCTTAAAAATTAATTTATTACAAGTAAAGTAAACTATAAATGTACTAATTGTGAGAAAAAGACCTTACTCTTGATGATCTCTTCAAGATAGGATATCAAGATGAATATACTTCCATATTTATTTTTTTTAGTAGCTACTAGTCTATACCTTACTATCTATAATAATTTCTATACCAAAAATGTCATGGCTGAGCTCATACTAAAGAATATAGACAAAAATGTCATGGTTGAACTCATACTAAGAATATAACCAAATATTTCATGGCTGTGTCACCTTCTACATTGCTCAAATTATTGTACTTGAGGAAAAATTGAAGTGTCTAAATCTTGATATCTGGTTGGCATTTTCCCATCAGGAAA